TTCAAACTACAAAGGTATCTCCTCCTGATTTGCCCCAAGAGAGACCTGATGCTTCTCGGATGGACCGAGGGGAATTGGGGGAAGCAGCAGCCACGGCAGCTGCGCGGGGAGGAAGGTTTTCATGGAAATCCTTCTCTGCTGCTCTTTGATCAAGGCCTTTGAGAGGGAGGGAACTGGGGTGCCTCTTTTCAACTGAGGGGAAGACAGGAGTGTCCCAACCTCAGACTCAGTCTGAGTCTAAACCGGAGTCCCAGCAAGAGGCTGAGACAACAGATGCTCTCCAGGAGGGCTGGGAAAACAGGACAGAAAGAAGCTCAGAAGAAGCTCCACAAAGGGGGACACTTGGGAGAAATCTCCCCATCCTCCTTCCATCACACACTCCCCCCCACCCCTCCAAAAAAACCCCATACTTACTGATCCTACATTTCTTAGAGACTACAAAAACCACCAACACCAGGACAAAACCACCCACAACGCAGCCGATAATGAGCTCCCGGTTGGATTTTGAATTGGTTGGTTCTGGATTGGGAGAAAGAGCAGATCATTGAAGGAGAAGCCCAAACAATCGTCCCAAGTCATGAGTCTGATGCAAGAAGAATTTAAAATCTTCCTCTTCTACCCAAGGGCCCCCTTGCCCCGAAATATCCTGTTTCAGACACTTGAGGGACGTCCAAATGCTTCAAGCAGGGGTCTTCAAAATTGACAGCTTTAAGACGTGTGGAGTTCCACTCCCAGAATTCCTCCCCCCAGTCATGTTAGCCCAGGAATTCTGGGAGTTGAAGTCCACAAGTCTTGAACTTGCCAAGTTTGAAGACCCTTGGCTTAAGGATATATAGAAGGGGAATCAAGAGTCAATTTGCGAGATGAAGGCCTCAGGGCTACAAACTCTGAGATCGTGACCCGAAGGTGCTTTTTCCAAGAGGACATTGGACTTTCTTTTTTTCTTTCTTTTTTCTTTTGAAGACGTTTCGCTTCTCATCCAACAAACTCCTTCAGCTCTGACTGGATGGTGGGGAAATGGAAGGATTTATATTCAAGGCACAAGCTTGTCCACCCCAAGGATAAAACACCCAGAGACAAACTGAGCAATGTGGTATATGCAGCACTATGCAGTGAGACATGTGCAGATCTGCACACTGGGGAAACAAAACAACCACTTCATAAATGCTGGAGGCAGGAAACTGGGGAGGAGCAGAGGCTAAGAGAGGATATGAGGGCATTTCACCAGGATCGGCCAACTCTTGTGATGGGATTCTATAGTTTCCTTTACATCCCCTGAAGCCAGTTCTACGGTCTGGTTTCTGCAGCTTCACCAACATCAAACACGGGAGAAACCAGTGGATGAAAAGGTATGCTCACATCTGGACACATTTAGGGCCAGATTCCTCTCCCACCACCTCCCAGCCTGCCAAAGAGCCCAGCCTTCCCCTCCCTGCAGCCTCTCACCTTTCAGGGCCAGGTCCAGAGGCTCCTGCAGGCCATCGTGCTTCACGTGGCACTGATAGCGGCCCCTCTCTTTGGGGTCGATCCGGATGCTGAGCCAGTAGTGGTAGGTCCCATCTGCATTGGGGGCTACAGACCCATGAAGTGTGTCCTGTAGCCAAACCAACCTGTCCCTCGTCCAGAAGGCATCGATCTCCCTGGGGTAGAAGCCATCCAGGCGGCAGACATGCGTCTCCATCCCATCCTCCACCTCTGTCTTGCCTCTCACCGTCACCCCTGGGGGTTCTGCAGAAACGGCACCCCCAGAATTAACTCTGAGCCCCTCCAGAGCCTGGAAGGGGGATCAAAAAATTGAAGGGGCAGGAAAGTCTCCCACCACTTAGTTTTAACCCGAAGATTTGCTGCTGATCCACACAGACACTTGGATCCTGGCCGGCCACAACTACGGCTTGCAAGGGGAGGAAGTGTATTTCATGTTAATGGCTGCCCGACAATAAGAACCAAACCGAACTCCCAGCATCCTGGAGAGGTGCTGGGAGAGGAGGGGAAGGATTCTCTTCAGGGCAAACAGGCTCCAGACAAGGGACCCAAAGGGGTCCGAATGGGTGCAACAAATCCGGCCATAAAGGAGGAAAGTCCAGCCTGGACCCAGATGCTCACCTGTCCTCTGCAGCGTCTCATTCCCGTAGAACAGGTACTTCTCCAGCCACCCAATGCAGGTTTCTTCTAGGTAGGCCTTCCTTCCCTGATTCCTTCCTGGAATAGCATCCCATTTCCACTGGGTGATCTGGGCCTGAGGGTCGGGAGCCACCCAGGTGAGGGTCTCCTTGTCGAAGGTGATGAAGGTCCTCCCATCGTATCCATACATATCAAACCCTTCCTTGGTCCTGTCTGCGTAGAGTTCACAGCCAGACATCGCCTGTATTGTGTGAAAGCCTGAAATAGGGACAGGAAGATGGTTTGGGGAGTCCCCAGGAGAGACAGAGCCCCTCTCCCCTGCTGGGACACTGAGACAGGAGGAACAGAGCGAGAAAAAGGATAAAAAATGGGTGGAAAATGAAAGACATACATTTTTCCCTATGAAGCTATTCAGGTCCCTGTAGATCAGAGGTCTCCAAACTTGGCAACGTTAAGACTTGTGGACTTCCAACTCCCAGAATTCCTCAACCAGCTTTGCTGGATGGTGGGCAGTGTGTGTGTTTGTGCGCGCGCATGTGTGTGTGTGTGTGTGTGTGTGTGGGGAAGAGGAGAGCTGAAACAGTATTGAAAGCCCCTCAAGAAAGTTTATTTTCCTCAAGATACCCCCCTCCCTCCTTTCCCTCGTGGTACCCTGATCATACCTTCCATAGAGATTTTTGCATTCTCACAAACCCAAGGCAGGGGTTCTAGTTCCCCATCCCCAAAATTATAGTGGATCCAATCCCCATATCCTACTCCTCTCCAGAGGGAAGCTAACTGGGGGGGGGATTCCCCAATTTTTCTCTGTTTCCCCAAGGAAAGGGGGATGGCAAGGGAACTGAAAGACTCTGCCCTCCCTAAGGAAAAAGGCCAAGAGGATTTCGCCTCTGAAAATACCCCTGTTACTCTTAGAGTTTTGGTGTCTGAATATTTCCCCCCTCCTCAAATTCTCCAAAAAGGGAAAACTGACAGCCCCATTTCTCCCCTAATGTTCAAGGGAAAGGAGGCCTCTCCAATTGCCCCCCTTCTCCATCCTTGGCCTGGGTCTCTGAAGCTGGATGGAGCCCCTGATCCTCACCAGGAAAAGGGCAGTGAGCAAATTTCCCTTTGGCTTCCTGGGATCAGAAAAGGCACCGGAGTTTTCAAACGTTTTAGTACCCATAAACCGCAACAGAGAAATTTTTGTTATGGGCCAAGGATAAACCTACATTCATTAGTGTAAAAGAAAGAAGAAACATATTTTAAAAATATTT